TAATTGACCGTTTTGTGCATGCATGCAATTTTCAAATAATTCATTTCCTGCTTCGATCGTTAATTATGTTATTGATGATTTCAAATGCGTGCACAAAACAAACAATCATGCAAAATCAATAATGATGACGACGACGGATATGATGGTGAAGAGCTTACGTAAAAAAAACGAATTAATTACCAATTTGCTTGGGCCGCAATGTTGAATATTAGATTTGCAATGCTTTATACGCGGATTATGCTCGCGTATTTACACACTGCATACTCGAAAATTCCAGTTGAATGGCAACCAATGGCCAAAGTGACCGATTAATTTGTTTCTTCTTTGCATATTGTGGCGGCGACGCGCATCGTTTCGCATTCGTTTAGGCGTGTATTTCGTGTGACCAATGTAGTGGCTGTTGTGTGTCGGTGTCGGGTGCATGATGTATATTGACATTTTCATTTGAATCGCATCGATTTGCAGCACACCAGTAAACGTTGTTTACTTAATCGTCCATCCCTACCGTTAATTAGCTCTGTACAGCAACGTACAGTTGTAGCGAGCAGCGCACCATTCAATTTCCAATATTAAATTATCAAATATTTCTCACGATACTTGTAAATAAAACGTTTGATTATCATGTTCGCGTCCAATGACTATTACTACATTTCTCCGCTCGTTTGGCGAGAGTCCAAGTCCTTTGAATCGTTTATGTTGTTTTTCTTTTGGTTTTCTCTCTCTGCGGTCTTTAATAGATTACGATTGATTTATGGGATCAAAATAGTTATTGAGTCGACAACGCCTCACGATATACGGCCTCGTGTGCAACGAAATCCAAATGCAATTTCAAATGAAACCAATGGAAAAGTGCACCGGTTCCTGTGCGCTTGCCGATCGATTTGTAGTTTGTGTGTCCTATTCTTTTTCTTTTCACATGCACCACAGCATGGCTGTGGATAAATGATCAATCATTAAATTTGAACAGGCCCATTTATTGTCCTCTCTCACGTGGATTTAAATCATTAATCCAATGCTCGATCGATGGATCTTGAATAATTTGCTTGTGTCTCACCTCTTTTGGTTGTTTTTGGCGCACGTTGCGGCTAATTACGAATGTAATTCAATTATCCATGCCATTTTCCGTTACATGTGTGCTTGACAGATTTCTTTTTGCCGACAGCTGCACACTTTACTCCCCAAGAATAATGGCGACGACGACAGTTCACTGATATGAGATATGGTCATTGGGATTTTTTTCTCTCTCTTCAGTTGTTGTTGTTGCTGCTGCTGCTGCTGCTGGAGCGGTATGCAACGCAATGTGAAATAGATACAAAGTGAAACAATCCGAGTAGCGCACGCGGCTCGAAGGCAACAATCAACAAATCACGATCATCGATCGTTACATTCATGCATTGCTCGCGCACCAATTATTATTATACACCACAAGCGACTCACTTCCTATTCGCTGGACACAACTTGCTGGTTCCTTTTTGACACTCTCAATGCAACCACATGGCATCGAAACAAGGCAAACTTTTGGCCAATCTTGGAGGCCACAGATTTATTGCTGTAACAAAACGTTATCATGGTGGATAGAGTGCAAAAAAAATTGCATTCCTTTCGTTTTCATGCTCGATATGGATACGAATTTGGTTACTTGTTACTTGTCACACCGCTAATATTTTCATGCTTCAAACGAATTTATTAAATGCGCTAGCACACTTTTTCTTCGGCCAAACACTTTCCTAATGGCACATTTCGATCACATCACATGAACGGAACCAATATCCATTTTTCTTCTCTTTCGTCGCCATCGTATTGCATACGTGCTCACGCTAAATCAACATGAATTGCACTGAAATTTGTCGATGTAACAAACAATATATAAAGATAGACAGAGAAGTGTGATTGCTTTTTTTTGTTTCTCTGTCTCTCTCGCTCTATCTCATCATCGGAATGTAACTGAAAATTTGCAATTCCACCAGCACCGCATCAGCACCGCACCAGAACCGCTCACAAATTGCGATAGTGATTGATAACGACAACCATAACCAAATTAATTTCATCGCTTAATATTTCTTCCAATCGGAGCTTATTCTTCGTTCAAGCGCATACATTCACTCGTACACTCTGTCTATGTCTCGCATGGGGCGCAATATGCAACCGTAGCGAATGCAATGTGTGTCTTGTGAAATGCAAGTGATTAACTTTCATATATTCAATATTTTCGATTTGGTCAACGCAAATTTAAGATATAGGATATTTTTCATGGCACTCGATGTGTGTTTATTTAAATTATCGCGAGACGCAAACAAGTAGAATGTTGCGCAAATTTGATATAAACACACATTTTGTGTAACCACTTTTCCAATGTCCCATTTGGCTGGCTCAATTTTAATTTTTCATTTTTACGACAAACATTCAGAAAAGTCCACCGCCAAAATCTATAAATGCCTACGCAAATTCTCGTATTTTGTCCAAGTCATGTTACACGGCAAACAAGTAGGCTGCCGGATTGTTGTGACACAAAGTCCATATGTTGTTGGACTTTTTCTTCTCTTGGGTGCTCTCTCTCTCTCTCTCTCTCTCTTTCTCTCTGTCTGTCTGTCTTCTCGTCGCTCAAATAAATGATTCTGTTTTTATTGTAGGTACCGGTCACATTCTTTTCGTTGCAATAATTCTGCCGTGTTTCTATTTTTTCATTTTGTTTTGTTCACTTGCCGCCTAATAATTGCCATCGAAAATCAAATATCGCGACACAATCCCAATAAAATTTTATGTACGAAAAATTATGATTGTATGGCGGTGTGCGAGTGTAAGAAGAGAGTTGCACCAGCAAAATAATGTAAGACATGTGCAACAAGATGTTGAACAGGTTGCAAGTATATGTTCTTGTTCCATGGGGTCGGGAAAGCAACTTTTTGAGCGAAAAAAAAAACAATTGTGGTAAAGCAGTGCGCAAACGACGAATTGCATTGCATGTAGGCATAACGACAATTGACGGTTATACCGCCAAGTGACAATGTACCAATACAGAAGAGAAAAAAAACGGCAACGAACACGATATGCACGTGCATGTGACCAAGACATGATAGTCTCACGCATGAAACGACCAATTCCAATTGAAAAATGCTAAAAATAGTTTTTTCAAGTTTTTTTTATTACCGACCGCGACCGGCTACTATGGAACAACGAATTTTTTGGTGCGATTATTTATCGGCAACTTGATATGTATGTGCGATTTAATTCAACTCAAATGGACATTATTATTGCAACAACAAACATTCATTGAATCGATCGTAGCATAGCATCTAATCTCTGTTCTCTGTGGCACCTGTTCCCGAGCTCTGATTTTGACTTTCAATCTTTCGATCACATTCCAATGTGAGTGAAACACAGTCGAATTGCCATATAAAATGAAACAGTTGAGCTTTAAGTTTAACTGAAAAATTGTTTGTTTGCCATTGTGTGCACTGTGCATTGCATGGCGTTGCATTTTACTGCGCGTACTGATGTGTCTCTCTCTAGTGTCCGATTCAGTGCAATTTATGTGCCATTCAATTACCAATTATGTAATCGTTGCCAGCCGATATGGAGTTAATAAATCTTTGGCACAAGCTGAAGCAAAAAACCTTGAAACCGCACACACCAATTTAAATGCTGAAGCACGCATTTCATTTACCTGCATGCAGAAAGTGTAATTGATTGAGAGAGTGCGCGCTCAACTAGAATATATATATGTATATGAAATCAATCAAAGAAATTTGCATTTTTATAATCATTTAATTTATTTTATGCGTATACAATTAGCCTCCAAGACATGTTATTATTACTAGTGAGGGCAAGAGAGAGAGAGAGAGAGAGAGAGAGAGAGAGAGAGAGAGAGAGAGAGAGAGAGAGAAAACAGAATTTATGATGAATGATGTTCTATGACCATCGGGAAGCATGCAATCGATTTGCTTTTACCCAATCAAGATGGACAACATACTGCTTCTGCTGTTGCTAATAAAAGAGAGTCGCGAACAAAACTTGTTTCGAGAACGAGTCTCTTTTTTTTATATAGATAGCATAAAGAATGGGAGACAATGACTTATGGATCCGGAGAAGGATTGGTATCGGTTGATTCATCTTCGTGTACCTTAATGTGTAAATCACTTTCCATGTTTGAACTTGCTTTGTTCTATCTTTCGATCGCCAAAAATGAACACACTATTCGGCCACAACCATGGTAACTTTTTTTTAGTACACAATACATATGAATATCGATTCACAACCTTTCCGCGTACAATAATTTCGGCGTTGATTGAATTATTTACCCAAATGACGTCACTATGAATGGTATGGTTTTTTTTCCAAGTTCTGCTTTGCGCATTCATTCTAGCTAATCGGAACGATTAACTCGCAATTGATTTGCATAATGTCTTGAAACAGTTATCATTGATTCCTGCGGCGATAAATTGTAAAACATTTTAAAAATAATACTCGATTTTTAATATGAAAAAAGAGGCAAAAAATGGATGAGTTTAAACCAGTTGATATGTTTCTTTTTCTGCACAAACGATTGCCCTCCGCGCGATCACTTTAAGAAATGTGCAAACGTTGCGGTAAGAATAAAGCGAATGACGATTCCAAAACGAAAACAAAACGAGAAGAAAATAGCGCAGAAATACACAGCGAGCGAATATGTTTCCCTTGATTTCTCAGAATTAGCAAAGCCATTTCAACGGAAACGTGCTTGATAAGCCATGCTAGTTTTTGGGACAAAACCAGCAAATTAGCAAAAGTCATTTGGTTATTTATATAATAAACGTTTGTCTCTCTACACTCTATCTTTTGTCATAGATGTATCATTCTTTTCGGCTGTATATTCCTCGCGATATATTTTATCGCGCTGTTCGTCTCATCAGTTACGAGGTGTTATTGTGTGTGCATCTATGTGTGTGTGTAGATACGATAGAGGCCTTGCTTTTATTTGCTAAGCGCTAATATTTGTCTGTTTTCTTTTGCCTTTATTTCAGTAATGACAATGAAACCAGCGTGAAAACACTCTCATATCGCACATCTCGTCTGTCGAAACAAAATTGAAAGAGTATATACAAAACCAATCAACAGCAACAGCTACGAGGCATAGCAGCGTGTGTGTTTGTTTCACGTTCGTAAAATCGAAACCGAGAGAGAGACGGAAAGAAGTGTCAGTCCAGCCGAAACCATCAATTCGTACGTAGTGCATTTTAACGCGCGCGGCTTCGACGAACGAAAATTATCGACACTCTATCGAAATATCTGTGTGCATCGCAATCAATCGATAATCCAAATGGGCACAAAATCGCCGGGCACATCGCAACGATGCCGATTGATATTGCAACATTGTTTGGCGATACAATTGAGCAAACCGGGCCACACTCCTGAGGATTTCTGGATGTACGATTCTGGCTATATGATATTCCAGGTAAAAAAAAACCGTTTTCTTTTTCAATCAATTTAATTAGTGAGTTTAGTGTTAAGATCTGTATACAAGATTTTCCTATTAAAATTCGACGTAAAATCAACAAAAATGCCAACACAAAGTAACGTGATGTTCATCCAACTCATTATGGAAGAATTTGCCCTATTGAGGGGAAAAAAACACTTAAATGAATGACATCGACATTTCACTTTTTTTTTATCCAAAACATACAGTTCTGTTCCATATTCACATATGTTTGTGCCATGTATTACAAACAGAACATATTTTCGATCGTTTTGAATGTGTTTTTTTTTCTCATTTTAGATAAGTAGTCATATAGTTTTCTCATTTTACAAACAAACAAATAGCGTTCGTATTTCATTCGACTATTTTTGTTCCTCTCGTAGCGTTGTTTCGATAAAAGTTTGAAAATTATATGCACTGTTTTGCCAAAGTGAAACCTCGTCAGCGTTTATTGTAACGTGTAGAAAAAGAATGCAAAACCATGGCCAGAGAAATATGAGAAAATGAGAAGGAGCAAAAGAAGAAGAGGCAAAAAAAAAGCAGCAGCACTAGCACCAAACAGTGTATAGATGAGCTGAGAGTTTGTCTAGTCGAAAAGTCGCCATTCACCAAATAACTCGTTCAATTTCTTTATTTCTTCATGTGAATGAGCCTGCACACACATCTTCGATCTTGTTCGGTTTGTTTGTTTCAATGCACATGCAGAAATTTCACAGTGTCTGAAAAATTATGACAATTTTTTTTTACTGCTGCATTCAACGACAACGACGACAACGAAGCGATTACATGTTTTGTCGTGCATCATGCGTACAACTTCCATTTATTATCCATAAAGTCAAAAACTTGACTATCATGATTACCTCCATTGAATATGATGGTGGTGGTTCCTGTTCGTGCAGACTGAACGTTTCGGCAGTACATCGTTTCGGGTTGTTCAATGTAATATGCTGCTCTGTTGCATCGGCCAAAATTATCTACAAGGACAATCATATGAATTAGATTTTGCTTACAATTTGTGCTGATTCACTAGAATATCGCTCTCTTCTTCTCTGCGTGCGTGCGTATGTGTGTGTGTGTGTTGGTTTCTGATCCTGCCTGAATTTCTCGCAGGGACGATGCGTGATTATAAAATTATGTGTGTAGTCATAAAACATAAACAGCAACGTATACGTTCCAATAACCATAATATTGTTCTCACTAGCAAACTGGTTTTTGGATAGATGGAAGAAGAAAAAAAAAACAAACGTTTTATAGCCTTTTGATTACATCGTCGAAATCACTTCGAAAACAAAAAGATTTGTCACAGCATGCACACGATTTGTGTTCTATTGAATATACGTATAGAAATTTGGTGAAAGGAATTTGGCGTATTCGAATTTCAGAACAGCCATATCATCATCACAACCAATCCGCCAATTTGTGTTTATGGATCACGTATTGCACTCTCTAATGTCATTACATTGCTGCAAAAAAACATTTTCGCTGGAATTTAAGAGAAGATATAAAGCAATTTAAGTAGGAAGACACATTTTTAAGTTTTAATTGTGTCATTTTCATCGTGCTGTGACAGAATCTTTTGCATTTCTACAGGACATTGCCAAACACAGCACACATTGAGGAAACAATTACGAATGAACTTTGTAATTAAATTGAAAATATGCACAAAAAAGTTGAAAAATGGTCAATGTCTACAAAATGTTGCCAAAAAAGCGTTCTATCGATGAAACCATTACACATATTAGTAATTTTCGAACGACAGATAAGTCATTAGTCCATGTCTCATAGGATTCAAAACAATGCGATGTTACTAATACATGCAGACAAGGATGTGTCACAAAATGCAATTAGAGCATCCTAATGAGCGTCACATTACTGACAGTTTATTGTAAAATTCTTCAAACAGGCAATTCATCCGGCTAAATCAGTTTTATTTGTGAGTTCAAGTTGAAAACATCTCAAAAGCAATGTTACTTATTTTGTCCTTCCTTATACTCAAGTATGTCGCCTCGAAGATATACGAGAAAAAACGAATTTTACAAATTGAAAGTGATTTTGAAAATTTCAAGTTAGCAGCCACAAAGGACGAATTAGTATTAAATGTAGTTAAAAGTCTGTATGTAGATGAGACGACGGCTAATATATTCAATGAACTATTAAATGCTGGAAATGTTTCGGAATTCATTGACATATCGGCGAAACATTGCATACCAACTCAACATTTGCTGTACGAATGGAACTACGTGCCAGCACAGGACTCACCAAAGCATATTTTAAATGCACTCAACGATGACTGCATTCAAGAAATTCTACGCAAATTGACAGACACAGGGGATTTTTTAAGCTCAGCCGAAACATGTTATCGTTTCCAAGTGAATGCCTTACAATGCTATCCATCGCATTTTAAGTGGTTATCGTTGTCAGTTGAAAATAAACCGGTCGGCAGCGACACTGTCGGATTGTCTTTGAGGAACGCATCAAATTATCTACAAATCTTCGGGCATTTGATCATGTCCCTGGAATTAATCTACGAACTTGAAGATGGAACATTAAATATGATCGCCAATTATTGTGGCGAAACATTAGAGTTCATTAATTTCAAAGGTCGCGAAAATACTACTGAACATTTTAATGCGTTGTCAGAGTTTAAAGCTTTACGGGAAATTTATATTCTTTCCATTTCAATGGATAATTTTGAATTACCAGAAAACTTACAAACGATATGGTTGTGTCAGGTAAAAGCTCAGGAAGGTTTGCAATGTATCATGAAGAAATTCCCTCAGTTAAAATCAGTTGCTTTTAATGAAGTTCTTAATGTAAGTGACACGACTTTCAAAGCATTTATCACGCTTAATCCACAAATAGAAAAGTTACACATTGCCGAATGCCAAAATATGACAATTTCAACTTTCAATAGTATCAGCGATCACTTACCAAATTTAACTTATTTATTGGTCAAATGCATCGAACCCATGACCATACATGAGTACAATGAAATGACGATGAATTGGAGCCAGCTGCTACGGTTAAAGCACCTAATTATATTTTTTCCTTTTGACTTTTCATATCCAGTAAATATGATAATCGATTCGCTTATCGCGAATACTTAATTGAGAAGCTAGATCTTAATTATCTGCATCATGATTTTGAAAATACTGTACCTGGAATAATGGAATTGAAGCAGCTTAAAGAATTACGACTAAATTGTCATGATGACAATATTTCTGCAAGTTCGATTGTTAAATTAGTGAAAGGACTGCCGGTATTGAAACGAATAAATTTTAACTGCAACACAATCAGCGTATCAGAAATAATGGATATTCATGAATACAGTGAACATTTGTCTGACCTCATAATATACATTGATGAAATGGACATCGACTTATCTGTGTATAAATCAATTTTGGCACTGAATAAAGGACGCCTTAATATTGAACTTAGTATACGGAATGGAGATATTGATGAAAATATTTTCAAAGAAAATGATCAGTGCTTGAAAATATTCAGGCGATGAAGTACCTATCTTGGTTAATTTGAAAGCGTAGACAACGATACAAACTAGTGAAAATTCCTTTATTTCCATTTTTAAAAAGTGCTCATTGGCTTTTACTCTTATGCATTCAACGGTTAATCTCTATAATCACCGTATTCAAAATAAATGTAAGAAATTTGTGATTTTATTGAAAAATAAAACTAATAAGGACAATATTGCGTCCATCTGGACCTTGTTTAGTTTGTTTGATTCAATGCACATGCAGAAATTTCACAGTGTCTGAAAAATCATGACAACTTTTTTTTTTACTGTTGCATTCAACGACAACGACGACAACGAAGCGATTATATGTTTTGTCGTGCATCATGCGTACAACTTCTAAACTATCATGATTACCTCTATTAAATATGATGGTGGTGGTTCCTGTTCGTGCAGACTGAACGTTTCGGCAGTACATCGTTTCGGGTTGTTCAATGTAATATGCTGCTCTGTTGCATCGGCCAAAATTATCTACAAGGACAATCATATGAATTAGATTTGGCTTACAATTTGTGCTGATTCACTAGAATATCGCTCTCTTCTTCTCTGCGTGCGTGCGTATGTGTGTTGGTTTCTGATCCTGCCTGCATTTCTCGCAGGGACGATGCGTGATTATAAAATTATGTGTGTAGTCATAAAACATCAACAGCAACGTATACGTTCCAATAAGCATAATGTTGTTCTCACTAGCAAACTGGTTTTGGATAGATGGAAGAAGAAGAAAAACAAACGTTTTATAGCCTTTTGATTACATCGTCGAAATCAACCTTACCATTTCGAAAAGAAAAAAATATTTGTCACAGCATGCACACAATTTGTGTTCTATTGAATATACGTATAGAAATTGGCCCGAAGCAATGATGGATTCAAACTACAAAATTGATAAGGAAATCGATCGTTTTACAGATAAGTTTCCCACAAATGACGTTGCTATCGAACACATGCACACATTCTATACGATGCGCCCAATTCGAAACGGACGCATTTTTCATTTCGACGTTTTGTTGCTGGTCAAACGGAGACAAATACATCAAGTGAATATATCGTACAATTCGATTCCGGACGAGCATGAGGAATATTATATGTTTTGGTATAGTAACCAATATAAAGTTTTGTGTTGATATTGCCAAAATGCGATCACGATTCCATTCAAAGATTTATATGCACTTTTGCCAAAAAAAAAAATAAAAACCTATGGCAAGCGCAACTTCATTTTGATACTACATAAATGGATTTATCGTGATCACATGGTATAAATAACATGCGTTGTGTTGCTGGTCGTTTTTATTTTATTTTTCTTCTATGTCTATCTTCGTTGTTCTGTTATTCAGTCGATGTCGTGTAGCATGTTACAAATGTGCAAATTTGTTTTGGTTTTTATCTCGGCATAAATGCTATTCCAATATCATCATTTGCCAAAAACCTGTTTCGTTTTTTGCCATGGAACGTG